TTACATTTCCATTTTCATATATTCCATTTACATTCAGTAGCATCTAGCAGTAACACACATACATACACTACAGGTCAAAAGTTTTAGAACACCTACTCATTCAAGGGTTTTTCTTTATTTTTACTATTTTCTACATTGTAGAATAATAGTGAAGACATCAAAACTATGAAATAACACATGGAATCATGTAGTAATCAAAAAAGTGTTAAACAAATCAAAATATATTTATATTTGAGATTCTTCAAATAGCCACCTTTGCCTTGACGACAGCTTTGCACACTCTTGGCATTCTCTCAACCAGCTTCACCTGGAATGCAAGAAGCGGCACAGGTCCTAATCCAGGCACATGTCATCTCCCATCTGGATTACTGCAACTCGCTGTTGGCTGGGCTCCCTGCCTGTGCCATTAATCCCCTACAACTCATCCAGAATGCCGCAGCCCGTCTGGTGTTCAACCTTCCCAAGTTATCTCACGTCACCCCGCTCCTCCGCACATTCCACTGGCTTCCAGTTGAAGCTTGCATCTGCTACAAGGCCATGGTGTTTGCCTACGGAGCTGTGAGGGGAACGGCACCTCCGTACCTTCAGGCTCTGATCAGTCCCTACACCCAAACGAGGGCATTGCGTTCATCCACCTCTGGCCGCCTGGCCCCCCTACCTCTGCGGAAGCACAGTTCCCACTCAGCCCAGTCAAAACTGTTCGCTGCTCTGGCACCCCAATGGTGGAACAAGCTCCCTCACGATGCCAGGACAGCGGAGTCACTCACCACCTTCCGGAGACACTTGAAACCCCACCTCTTTAAGGAATACCTGGGATAGGATAAAGTAATCCTTCTACCCCCCCAAAAAAAAATAATAATAAAAAAAATAATAATAATAATAATAATAATAATAATAATAATAATAATAATTAAATAATTTAAAATAAAAAATATAAAAAATATATAGATATATACAGTGGGGAGAACAAGTATTTGATACACTGCCGATTTTGCAGGTTTTCCTACTTACAAAGCATGTAGAGGTCTGTAATTTTTTATCATAGGTACACTTCAACTGTGAGAGACGGAATCTAAAACAAAAATCCAGAAAATCACATTGTATGATTTTTAAGTAATTAATTTGCATTTTATTGCATGACATAAGTATTTGATACATCAGAAAAGCAGAACTTAATATTTGGTACAGAAACCTTTGTTTGCGATTACAGAGATCGTACTCCTGAGTGGCGCAGTGGTCTAAGGCACTGCATCGCAGTGCTAACTGTGCCACTAGAGATCCTGGTTCGAATCCAGGCTCTGTCGCAGCCGGCCGCGACCGGGAGACTCATGGGCGGCACACAATTGGCCCAGCGTCGTCCAGGGTAGGGGAGGGAATGGCCGGCAGGGATGTAGCTCAGTTGATAGAGAATGGCGTTTGCAACGCCAGGGTTGTGGGTTCGATTCCCACGGGGGGCCAGTATAAAAAGAAAAAAAAAGAAATATGTATTCACTAACTGTAAGTCGCTCTGGATAAGAGCGTCTGCTAAATGACTAAAATGTAAAATGTAAATGTAATACGTTTCCTGTAGGTCTTGACCAGGTTTGCACACACTGCAGCAGGGATTTTGGCCCACTCCTCCATACAGACCTTCTCCAGATCCTTCAGGTTTCGGGGCTGTCGCTGGGCAATACGGACTTTCAGCTCCCTCCAAAGATTTTCTATTGGGTTCAGGTCTGGAGACTGGCTAGGCCACTCCAGGACTTTGAGATGCTTCTTACGGAGCCACTCCTTAGTTAATAATATAATAATAATTGCCCTGGCTGTGTGTTTCGGGTCGTTGTCATGCTGGAAGACCCAGCCACAACCCATCTTCAATGCTCTTACTGAGGGAAGGAGGTTGTTGGCCAAGAACTCGCGATACATGGCCCCTTCCATCCTCCCCTCAATACGGTGCAGTCGTCCTGTCCCCTTTGCAGAAAAGCATCCCCAAAGAATGATTTTTCCAACTCCATGCTTCACGGTTGGGATGGTGTTCTTGGGGTTGTACTCATCCTTCTTCTTCCTCCAAACACGGCGAGTGGAGTTTAGACCAAAAAGCTCTATTTTTGTCTCATCAGACCACATGAACTTCTCCCATTCCTCCTCTGGATCATCCAGATGGTCATTGGCAAACTTCAGACGGGCCTGGACATGCGCTGGCTTGAGCAGGGGGACCTTGCGTGCGCTGCAGGATTTTTAATCCATGACGGCGTAGTGTGTTACTAATGGTTTTCTTTGAGACTGTGGTCCCAGCTCTCTTCAGGTCATTGACCAGGTCCTGCCGTGTAGTTCTGGGCTGATCCCTCACCTTCCTCATGATCATTGATGCCCCACGAGGTGAGATCTTGCATGGAGCCCCAGACCGAGGATGATTGACCGTCATCTTGAACTTCTTCCATTTTCTAATAATTGCGCCAACAGTTGTTGCCTTCTCACCAAGCTGCTTGCCTATTGTCCTGTAGCCCATCCCAGCCTTGTGCAGGTCTACAATTTTAACCCTGATGTCCTTACACAGCGCTCTGGTCTTTGCCATTGTGGAGAGGTTGGAGTCTGTTTGATTGAGTGTGTGGACAGGTGTCTTTTATACAGGTAACGAGTTCAAACAGGTGCAGTTAATACAGGTAATGAGTGGAGAACAGGAGGGCTTCTTAAAGAAAAACTAACAGGTCTGTGAGAGCCGGAATTCTTACTGGTTGGTAGGTGATCAAATACTTATGTCATGCAATAAAATGCAAATTAATTACTTAAAAATCATACAATGTGATTTTCTGGATTTTTGTTTTAGATTCCGTCTCTCACAGTTGAAGTGTACCTATGAAAAAAATTACAGACCTCTACATGCTTTGTAAGTAGGAAAACCTGCAAAATTGGCAGTGTATCAAAAACTTGTTCTCCCCACTGTATATTGTAAAGTGGTTATCCCATTGGCTATATGGTGAATGCACCAATTTGTAAGTCGCTCTGGATAAGAGCGTCTGCTAAATGACGTAAATGTAAATGTAAATGTAATTTGGTTGACGTCGGGGGATTGTGGAGGCCAGGTCATCTGATGCAGCACTCCTTCACTCTCCTTCTTGGTAAAATAGCCCTTACACAGCCTGGAGGTGTGTTGGGTCATTGTCCTGTTGAAAAACAAATGATAGTCCCACGAAGCCCAAACCAGATGGGATGGCGTATCGCTGCAGAATGCTGTGGTAGTCATGCTGGTTAAGTGTGCCTTGAATTCTAAATAAATCATAGACAGTGTCACCAGCAAAGCACCCCCACACCATAACACCTCCTCTTCCATGCTTTATGGTGGGAAATACACATGCAGAGATCATCCGTTCACCCACAACGCATCTCACAAAGACACGGCGGTTAAATGTACTGTATGTACTGTATGTATGTGTATATGTATGTGTATGTATGTATATGTATGTATGTGTATATGTATGTGTATGTATGTATATGTGTGTGTATATATATATATATATATATATATATATATATATATATATATATATTTGCGAGAAAACAAAACATATGGGGGATTGGAAGTGATGCAGACAATTACATTGATGGAAGTTACAATCTATCAGCAACATTAAAGCTGATCCCCCCCACAAAAAAAGTAAAACAAATTCAATAAATAAAAAGACACGGCGGTTGAATCAAAAATCTCCAATTTGGACTCCAGACCAAAGGACACATTTCCACCAGTCTAATATCCATTGCTCATGTTTCATGGCCCAAGCAAGTCTCTTCTTCTTATTGGTGTCCTTTAGTAGTGGTTTCTTTGCAGCAATTCGACCATGAAGGCCTTATTCACACAGTCTCCTCTGAACAGTTGATGTTGAGTTGTGTCTGTTACTTGAGCTCTGTGAAGCATTTATTTGGGCTGCAATTTCTGAGGCTGGTAATTCTAATGAACTTATCCTCTGCAGCAGAGGTAACTCTGGGTCTTCCATTCCTTTGGCGGTCCTCATGAGAGCCAGTTTCATCATAGCACTTGATGGTTTTTGCGAATGCACTTGAAGAAACTTTAAAAGTTCTTGAAATTTTCCGTATTGACTGACCTTCATGTCTTAAAGTAATGATGGACTGTAATTTCTCTTTGCTTATTTGAGCTGTTCTTGCCATAATATGAACTTGGTCTTTTACCAAATAGGGCTATCTTCTGCATTCCAGGTGACTACCTCATGAAGCTGGTTGAGAGAATGCCAAGAGTGTGCAAAGCTGTCATCAAGGCAAAGGGTGGCTATTTGAAGAATCTCAAATATAAAATATATTTTGATTTGTTTAACACTTTTTTGGTTACTACATGATTCCATATGTGTTATTTCATAGTTTTGATGTCTTCACTATTATTCTACAATGTAGAAAATAGTAAAAATTAAGAAAAACCCTTGAATGAGTAGGTGTTCTAAATCTGTTGTCTGGTAGTGTACATCAGTATACATATGCCTATGACTTATTTAGGTAAGATAGGTATTGTGCTATGAGGTTTTTATTACAATTTTGCTGTTTGCTTGAGTAATTTGAGATGGAAGGGAGTTCCATCTATATAATACTGTGCGTTGCCTTGAATTAATTATGGATTTGGGGACTGTGAAGGGACACCTGGTGGCATGTCTGGTGGGGTAAGTTTGTCTGTCAGAGCTTCTTCACCACATTAATATTTCTCACTAAAACCAAAATTGATGCAGTCAATCTCTCCTCTACTTTGATCCAAGAGAGACTGACAATTTGATATTGAGATAAAAACGGCTGCATTTGGCCTTTAATCTTTTTAAATCGATTAAATTAAGGGGAATTTTGTATTTCTATTCTCTCTACATAAGCTTTTACATTTCTAATTGAAAGAGGGGAGCTGCCTCACACTACAGAAACAGGAAATAGGCCCCTGCCATATGGGCTGTTCTAGCTTGGACAAGGCTACTTAATGTAAGTAGATATTTTTCTGTTCACTTTATCTTCACATGTTGTCTTTTTTCTCTAGGTTTGGTAGGAAGACCATGCTCCTGGTGTCCTATATCTCTGGCATGCTGTTTGGTATTGCCAGTGCTTTCTCCACCTCCTTCATCATGTTTGCTGTGCTCAGGTTCTTCACTGGGTTCGGCATCACTGGCATCGTCATCGTCTCATCAGTACTCAGTGATTATACACACACACTTGCACACACCCAAGCACACACACACACACACACACACTCAAATATGAAGCCCACCCACCACTAGACGAATACAGACAACCAACGTGGTGTCCCAGAGACTATCCTTGTCTCATCTGGTGTTGCGTTGTGTTGCCCTCAGGTGTGGAGTGGGTGGACATTGAGCACAGAAAATTAGTGGGAGTGATTGACAGCCTGTCCTGGACGTTTGGTAACTCCATGATTCCAGCCATAGCCTATTGTGTGAACGACTGGAGACAGCTGACCATAGTGGTCACCTCACCTCTCGCCCTGGCCATACTCACATGGAGGTCAGAGGGAGGGAGGGACTGACAAACAAATGAATGGACAGTTAACAGTTGCTGTGATATTGTGAATAACATCTTTACCTCCTCCAATAGGTGGATTCCTGAGTCAGCCAGGTGGCTCATAGCCAATGGGAAGTTTGAGAAAGCAAACTTTTATTTGCAACAATGTGCCCAGATGAACCAGAAGGAGGAGTTTGCATCCAAAATTACACCAGAGGTAAGGGAATGCCAGGATAGGATAAGTTTAAGCAATATGGTTCATCTGATTCTTTCACCTTTCCTTCTAGCCTGGTTACAGATCTGTTTGTGCTCAAATCAAATCAAATGTTATTTGTCACATGCTCTGAGTACACCAGGTGTAGATTTTACCGTGAAAGGCTTACTTACAAGCACTTTCCCAACAATGCTGAGTTAAAAAGTATGAAAATTAGAAAATAAAAATGGAAATATTAACACAATAAAATAATAACAAAGCTACAGTATATACAGGGATACCGAGTCAATGTGCTGGGGGTACGAGGTAGTTGAGGTGATTGAGGTAATATGTACATGTAGGTAGGGGTAAAAGTGAGGCAATCAGGATAGATAATAAACAGAGTAGAAGCAGCGTGTGTGAAGAGTGAAAGATTGCGAAAGAGTGTGTGTGTGTGTGGCGTCAATATGGATGTGTGTGTGTGTGTGTGTGTTTTGTGTGTGTGAGCGTATGTAGTGTGTGTGTGTGTTGGAGTGTCAGTGTAATATGTGTGGGTTGAGTCCAGTGATTGTGCATAGAGCCAGTGTGAGAGAGTCAGTGCAACAAAAAAAAAGGGGGTGAATGCAAAATAGTCCGGGTAGCCATTTGATTAACTGTTCAGCAGTCTTATGGCTTGGGAGTAGAAGCTGTTCAGGAGCCTTTTGGTCCCAGACTTGGTGCTCTGGTACCACTTGCAATGTGGTAGCAGAGAGAACAGTCTAAGACTTGGGTGGAGTCGTTGACAATTTTTAGGGCCTTCCTCTGACACTGCCTGGTACAGAGGTCCTGGATGGCAGGGAGCTCGGTCCCAGTGATGTACTGGGTCGTACGCACTACCCTCTGTAGCGCCTTGCGGTCGGATGCCAAGCAGTTGCCATACCAAGTGGTGATGCAGCCAGTCAAGATGCTCTCAATGATGCAGCTGTAGAACATTTTGAGGATCTGAGGGCCCATGCCAAATCTTCCCAGCCTCCTGAAGGGGAAGAGGTATTGTCGTACCCTCTTCACGACTGTGTTGGTGTGTTTGGATCATGATAGGTCCTTGGTGATGTGGACACTGAGGAACTTGAAGCTCTTGATCCGCTCCAGTACAGCCCTGTCGATGTGAATGGGGGCGTGCTCGGCCCTCCGTTTCCTGCATTCCACGATCAGCTCCTTTGTCTTGCTGACGTTGAGGGAGATGTTGATGTCCTGGCACCATACAGCCAGGTCTCTGACCTCCTCCCTATTAGCTATCTCATTGTCGTCGGTGATCAGGCCTACCACCGGTGTGTCATTTGCAAACGTAATGATGGTGTTGGGAGTCATGCGCGGCCACTCAGTCGTGGGTGAACATGGAGTATAGGAGGGGACTGAACACGCACCCTTGAGGGGCCTTGTGTTGAGGGTCAGCGTGGCGGATGTGTTGTTGCCTACCATCACCAGGGGGCAGCCTGTCAGGAAGTCCAAGATCCAGTTGCAGAGGGAGGTGTTTAATCCCAGGGTCCTTAGTTTAGTGATGATCTTGGAGGGCACTATGGTGTTGAACGCTGAGCTGTAGTCAATGAACAGCATCCTCACGTAGGTGTTCCTTTTGTCCAGGTGGGAAAGGGCAGTGTGGAGCGCAATAGAGATTGTGTAATCTGTGGATCTGTTGGGATGGTATGCGAATTGGAGTGGGTCCAGTGTGTATGGGATGATGGTGTTGATGTGAGCCATAACCTTCCTTTCAAAGCATTTCATGGCTACAGATGTGAGTGCTACGGAGCGATAGTAATTTAGACAGGTTACTTTGGCCTTCTTGGGCACAGGGACTGTCTTGCTAACTCCTATGGTCAGAGTTGGCAAGACAGCACAAACAGATCTAGGACCTGGTTACTTTCCCTCTGAAAGCCTGGGTGGGATTTTTCCCATACTGCTTATATATATCCAATCTTTTCATATCTACAGGAGTGTCGAGGAGATAAAGTATAGGGGTTGATTTGGGATTCAGCAACTGATCCGCCTCTGTTCTTCTCGCCACCAGACTCTGTCCAGTATCATTGTGACAGAGAGAAAAGACAGAACCTACTCCTACCTTGACCTGGTCAGAACCCCAAAGATGAGGAGACTGGCTCTACTCACAGGCATAGTATGGTGAGTATCCCCGGTCTCATGATATCTGATACAAGTTGCTTTAGTAAATGCATGTTCATCATGTCTAGCTATACATAATAATGTAAGAATAATGTAGAAATGTATTGATGCTATCAAGTTGGGTAACATTTCATTTGAATGTTCTGATCTAATGTCCACATAAGATAATATCATGAAATGTAATTTCAACATTAAATTAGACTTTTAGCTCACCTCAAACTATGTCAAAACACATTACATCAGTCTACACAGTTTAACAACACCAACAATGCCAACCTGATTTCTCATCCCAAAGGTATGGTGTGGCTTCAACATATTATGGCATTAGCTTCAACATCACTGGATTTGGGCTCAACATATATCTAACCCAGTTTGTATATGGTGCCATAGAGCTGCCAGCCAAACTAGCAGTGTACTACCTTCTGGATAAGGTGGGCAGGAGAAACACTGAAGTAGGATCTCTGCTAGGAGCTGGAATCTGTCTCACTATTAACATTTTCCTACCCAGAGGTGAGTGCTTTTTGTTTTTATCAGGGAGGCGGGCAATTCCAGTCCAGGAGACATCATCTTATAATGTATAGGAGTTGTCATCTAATACTGGAGTTGGAACAAACCCTGGCAGTACTAGATGATAACTCTACAGGAGTTATCACATCTCTACAGGAGTTATTATCACATCTCTACAGGAGTTATCACATCTCTACACAAGTTATCACATCACTACAGGAGTTATTATCACATCTCTACAGGAGTTATCACATCACTACAGGAGTTATTATCACATCTCTACAGGAGTTATCACATCTCTACACGAGTTATCACATCACTACAGGAGTTATTATCACATCTCTACAGGAGTTATCACATCACTACAGGAGTTATCACATCTCTACAGGAGTTATCACATCACTACAGGAGTTATTATCACATCTCTACAGGAGTTATCACATCACTACAGGAGTTATCACATCTCTACAGGAGTTATCACATCACTACAGGAGTTATTATCACATCTCTACAGGAGTTATCACATCACTACAGGAGTTATCACATCTCTACAGGAGTTATTATCACATCTCTACAGGAGTTATTATCACATCTCTACAGGAGTTATCACATCACTACAGGAGTTATCACATCTCTACAGGAGTTATTATCACATCTCTACAGGAGTTATTATCACATCTCTACAGGAGTTATTATCACATCTCTACAGGAGTTATTATCACATCTCTACAGGAGTTATTATCACATCTCTACAGGAGTTATTATCACATCTCTACAGGAGTTGTCATCTAGTTCTGCTGGGGTGTGTTCCAGTCTGTTTCAGTTATTCATGAACTCATCCTAAATATTTAAATATGGTGGGTAACTTTGACTTAAAGGAAAGGTCATGTCGTTCCTCTCCTCCCTTTCAGACATGTCTGTTTTAAGGACGGTGGTGGCGGTGCTGGGGAAGGGTTGCTCGGCAGCATCCTTCACAACCATCGTGTTATACAGCTCTGAGCTGTTCCCTACTGTGGTCAGGTAAATCACACCTCTGTCTCCGATTTAAAGTGTAACTAAAGACAGGTCAAAATGTGTGTTCTGTATCTTTCTCTCTCTGTCTCTCAGGCAGAACGGCATGGGCTACAACTCGTCCATGGGTCGTCTGGGAGTGTCTCTGGCCCCTCTCATCCTGCTGCTGGATGAGGTGTGGAGGGACCTTCCCCAGGTCCTTCTCTGCTCCATAGCCCTGCTGGCTAGCCTGGTGGCCAGGATGCTGCCTGAGACACGGGGCCGCTGTCTACCAGAGACCATCCAGGACATTGAGGACGGGCAGACAGGGTACGATATAGCCTCTGTGATATAGACACTTAGGTTGGGATTCAATCCAATGTGCGTTAAAGAGCAGTGCACTAGACAGATGACAATTAACTGTAAGTCGCTCTGGATAAGAGCGTCTAATAAATGACTAAAATGTAAATGTAAATGTAATGCGCCTATTAAAGGCGAAATATGCAGAAATCGCTCCGCCATTGCCTAGTTGCTAAAATTCTAAAATGCTAGCCTATAAACCTAGCAAACCACAATTTCTCAAGCAAGCATTTTGGGTGTAATCTGTAAATTCTTTGCAAACATGGTTATTGATGATTATGAATATCATAGTAAGTGTTTTATCAATGATTATGTGTTTATTTCTTTTTTAATGTACCATTCTAGGAAGAGTTTGGCTGGATCCCAAGTTGTGGAAACAACAGAAATCCCTCTAAAATCAAAGGCCAACAATGAGATGGAAAATTGATACTAAGACAGTCTTTCTGTATATATTTTTTATATGCCGAAATGTGCACCAACAACAATTTTTCAAGTTCCACATCAAAAACAACATTCAAACCTAGCACTATAATTTGTATATGAGGAATAAAATATGCTTCTCTTGTATCTCGTTTCTCTTTTTAGTCATTTAGCAGACACTCTTATCCAGAGCGACTTACAATTAGGGAGTGCATACATTTTTTCATACTGGCCCCCCATGTAGCTCAGTTGGTAGAGCATTGTGTTTGCAACGCCAGGGTTGTGGGTTCGATTCCCATGGGCGGCCAGTATGAAAAAATGTATGCACTCCCTAACTCTAAGTCGCTCTGGATAAGAGTGTCTGCTAAATTACTAAAAATGTAAATCTTATAGGACAAGAGAAACGAGATACAAGAGAAGCATATTTTATTCCTCATATACAAATTATAATTTTCCACTCAATTGCAATACTATATTATCTTATTTAGAAAATACCTTTTTGTTTCATATCAACGAGGAACAAAATATTATCTTTGATAATGTATCATAACTCTTTATGCATTCTTCCTCACCATAACCATTGGCAAATACATGCAATCAATCTTTAATATTGGATATGAGCCTGATGTTAAATACATATTTTATAAATCAGTGTGCTTAGTAGGTTGCAAAAGTGATTTAAATAATATTTTTTGTTAGTTTTTTACCCCTTTTTCTCCCAATTTCAATTACGATCTTGTCTCATCGCTGCAACTCCCCAACAGGCTCAGGAGAGGCGAAGGTCGAGTCATGCGTCCTCCGAAACATGACCCGCCAAACCGTACTCCTTAACACCCGCCCGCACCAATGTATCCGAGGAAATACCGTTCAACTGATGACCGAAGTCAGCCTGCAGGCGCCCGGCCCGCCACAAGGATGCACTGTTGGTTAAAATAAATGCACTGTTGGTTAAGGGCTGTAAGTAAGCATTTCACTGTAATGTCTGCACCTGTTGTATTCGGCGCATGTGACCAATAAAATTTGATTTGATTTGAAGGAGTTGCTAGAGTGCGATGAGCCAAGTAAAGCACTCCCGGCCAAACCCTCCCCTAACCCGGACGATGTTGGGCCAATTGTGCCCTATGGGACTCCCGGACACAGCCTGGGATCGAACCCTGGTCTGTAGTGACACCTCAAGCACTGCGATGCAGTGCCTTAGACCGCTGCGCCACTTGGGAGGCCTAAATACTCTTAAACATTATACAAACAATATGTAAAAAATACACACAAAAATACAACCATGTTTATCAGCAAGCGTGTGGTTGGTTTCATCGCAATACCTGTCAATTCAGTCACTGAATAACTTCAGTCACTCAATTCAGTAATTTCAGTCACTCAGTTCAGTCACTGAAATTACCCCAATCAAACCGAAACCCCATTCATCTCACTTTCAGTGTGTGGTTAGGACTGGCTGGGTATTTCAGTTTGCTCCATGTCTTCTTTCTCATAGATGTAACAGCCCACCTTGCCGATGTTCACTCCTTTTGGTCCATACAGGATGCCGTAGCAAGGGACGTGGCAGTAAGGTATCCCTTCATGCTGCAACAAGGGAAACATCAGCAATGTCATGTTTTAGTTTTGAAATTTGATTGAGATATTATTCTTGGGAAACCCATTCTTTGTCATGACCCTAGCATTTGTCAGAATAAGACATAAATGATGGGGGCATTTAGCTTTTCTTAATTGCCCCTCCCTGAGGGGATGAATACAGTTATATTGGTTTAATTCCGTATGATTTAATTGACCAACATCAATGCATCTTCAGATTGTCTTATAAGTCCATGTGGGCTAGGCATCCTGAAAATGCAAGACACTTTAATAATAAAATACATCAAATCAAATAACCTTACATGTGAATTTCGACACAGAAGCACTGATGTGGATCTTAAAAGCAGCCCTCGCTTCGGTCATCAGTAATTGTAGTAGACAGTAATAATGTGGATGTAATACCTCAGCATGTCCACCAGAGGTCAGTGTCTTCTTACACCTCTCACAGCGCAGGCATGGTCGGTGCCAGTTCCTACCCAGGGACATCACCTTCTCTGCTGCAGAGACAAACAGACAAACACATCACTACGATTACCGAATTCAGCTGGCATGTCAGGATAATTAATAAACAGTGTACAAGGTTCTGTGTGGATCAGTTAGTAAAAACCTGGTGATTACCACATTGAGGTCTTGGGTTCAATTCCCACAGGGATCACATTCCAAAAATGTCACTTTGAAAATATAATAGGTCCGCTAAGTGACCGCTTGAACTATCAGTACAACATAGAAAATAAACATAAGAAAGCACATGTAAAAAAAACATATACAAAAATATATGTATAAAAAATATAGAATGCACATTTGAGTGATCAACGTTTATATCATAAATCAATCATGAACAGTCTGACCAAAACGTACCAAAATAGACCACTTTTCCACAGCCAGGACAGAGTGAGGTCTCTCCAGCAAACATCCTGGTCTGAGGGGGAGGAACTGGAGAAACAACAGTAGCTAGAGGTTATTCATAAGTTCAACCAACAGAAACAATTAAGTCAGCCTCAATTAAACTCATAAGTTAACCCTACATAAACTCACAGATAGGTTTTCTGCAAGTTACCAGACAGCAAATATAAGACCACCCCAACAGACACAAACTCAACATACCCCTTTCCCTTTCCAAGTCCAGCTGCTAAAATAAATTGAATCTCTTACTTTACATACTTATTCAAAATACACAATGTATCTATTCAGGTTAACCAAACACATATTTACATTTACATTTACATCATTTAGCATAAATTGAGAGTTTTCAGATTGAACAGTGACATGATACATAACAGAAAGTTTGGGTTTACAATGTTTTGCAAAAGGCAAAATTCAACAGATTATAAGTAATTATAATAATAACATTGAACAATCAACAACTACCCCACCCATTCCTTTAAAAACATTTTAATCTCTAAAGGAAATGCTAAGCCCAACAAGTGGTCTGTTAAAAACATCTGTTGAAAGTTCTAACATGGGTCAATCTTGAATCTTGTAATCAGAGATGGTTGTTTAAAGACATAGGGCTCTATTTTAGGCTGGCATTAAGGCGCTAGTGTCAAACGCACGTTAGTTTAGCAATTTCGTCATGTAAAAACTGCCGTACTAGCATTTTCTAGCCCTAAAGCCAGGTTTGGTAATTTACCTGTCTTATATCAGCTCGCTTGCGCTCAGATGGGCGGGGTGGAAATATAGTGTCCTTAAAAACTTGATCCAAAGTGCTAATTTCAGGCAGCGCTGATAGGGATATTTAAGACCAACCAAAAGCTGGTTTTAGCGGTAATGCAGTTGGTTATGACATTAATTTTGACAGCAGAAACGCAGCCTATCCAGCCGTGACGCACACTGCCCATATGTGCATGGAACAAGAGTAGCCTAATGTGCTTTTGGTGCTTGTATACTTCATACAGTGAGGGAAATAAGTATTTGATCCCCTGCTGATTTTGTACGTTTGCCCACTGACAAAGAAATGATCAGTCTATAATTTTAATGGTAGGTTTATTTGAACAGTGAGAGACAGAATAACAACAAAAAAATCCAGAAAAACGCATGTCAAAAATGTTAAAAATTGATTTGCATTTTAATGAGGGAAATAAGTATTTGACCCCCTTTCAATCAGAAAGATTTCTGGCTCCCAGGTTTATTTTATACAGGTAACGAGCTGAGATTAGGAGCACACTCTTAAAAGGAGTGCTCCTAATCTCAGTTTGTTACCTGTATAAAAGACACCTGTCCACAGAAGCAATCAATCAGATTCCAAACTCTCCACCATGGCCAAGACCAAAGAGCTCTCCAAGGATGTCAGGGACAAGATTGTAGACCTACACAAGACTGGAATGGGCTACAAGACCATCGCCAACCAGCTTGGTGACAACAGTTGGTGTGAATATTCGCAAATGGAAGAAACACAAAATAACTGTCAATCTCCCTCGGCCTGGGGCTCCATGCAAGATCTCACCTCGTGGAGTTGCAATGATCATGAGAACGGTGAGGAATCAGCCCAGAACTACACGGGAGGATCTTGTCAATGATCTCAAGGCAGCTGGGACCATAGTCACCAAGAAAACAATTGCTAACACACTACGCCGTGAAGGACTGAAATCCTGCAGCGCCCGCAAGGTCCCCCTGCTCAAGAAAGCACATATACAGGCCCGTCTGAAGTTTGCAAATGAACATCTGAATGATTCAGAGGAGAACTGGGTGAAAGTGTTGTGGTCAGATGAGACCAAAATCGAGCTCTTTGCCATCAACTCAACTCGTGTTTGGAGGAGGAGGAATGCTGCCTATGACCCCAAGAACACCATCCCCACCGTCAAACATGGAGGTGGAAACATTATGCTTTGGGCGTGTTTTTCTGCTAAGGGGACAGGACAACTTCACTGCATTAAAGGGACGATGGACGGGGCCATGTACTGTCAAATCTTGGGTGAGCACCTCCTTCCCTCAGCCAGGGCATTGAAAATGGGTCGTGGACAGGTATTCCAGCATGACAATGACCCAAAACACACGGCCAAGGCAACAAAGGAGTGGCTCAAGAAGAAGCACATTAAGGTCCTGGAGTGGCCTAGCCAGTCTCCAGACCTTAATCCCATAGAAAATCTGTGGAGGGAGCTGAAGGTTCGAGTTGCCAAACGTCAGCCTCGAAACCTTAATGACTTGGAGAAGCTCTGCAAAGAGGAGCGGGACAAAATCCCTCCTGAGATGTGTGCAAACCTGGTGGCCAACTACAAGAAACGTCTGACCTCTGATTGCCAACAAGGGTTTTGCCACCAAGTACTAAGTCATGTTTTGCAGAGGGGTCAAATATTTATTTCCCTCATTAAAATGCAAATACATTTATAACATTTTTGTCATGCGTTTTTCTGGATTTTTTTGTTGTTATTCTGTCTCTCACTGTTCAAATAAACCTACCATTAAAATTATAGACTGATCATTTCTTTGTCAGTGGGCAAACTTACAAAATCAGCAGGGGATCAAATACTTTTTTCCCTCACTGTACATATGGACGCACCACTTTATTTTTTTCATTTCACTTCACCAATTTGGACTATTTTGTGTATGTCCATTACATGAAATCCAAATAAAAATCTATTTAAATTACAGGTTGTAATGCAACAAAATAGGAAAAAACGCCAAGGGGGATGAATACTTTTGCAAGGCACTGTACAGTTGAAGTCAGATGTTTACATACACCTTAGCCAAATACATTTAAACTCAGTTTTTCACAATTCCTGACATTTAATCCTAGTAAAAATTCCCTGTTTTAGGTCAGTTAGCATCACCACTTTATTTTAAGAATGTGAAATGTCAGAATAATAGTAGAGAGAATTATTTATTTCAGCTTTTATTTATTTCATCACATTCCCAGTGGGTCAGAAGTTTACATACACTCAATTAGTATTTGGTAGCATTGCCTTTAAATAGTTTCACTTGGGTCAAACGTTTCGGGTAGCCTTCCACAAGCTTCCCACAATAAGTTGGGTGAATTTTGGCCCATTCCTCCTGACAAAGCTGGTGTAACTGAGTCAGGTTTGCAGGCCTACTTGCTCGCACACGCTTTTTCAGTTCTGCCCACAAATGTTCTATAGGATTGAGGTCAGGGCTTTGTGATGGCCACTCCAATACCTTGACTTTGTTGGCCTTAAGCCATTTTGCCACAACTTTGGAAGTATTTGTCCATTTGGAAGACCCATTTGCGACCAAGCTTTAACTTCCTGACTGATGTCTTGAGATGTTGCTTCAATATATCCACATAATTTTCCTTCCTCGTGATGCCATCTATTTTGTGAAGTGCACCAGTCCCTCCTGCAGCAAAGCACCCCCACAGCATGATGCTGCCAACTCTGTGCTTTACGGTTGGGATGATGTTCTTCGGCTTGCAAGGCACCCCCTTTTTCCTCCAAACATAACAATGGTCATTATGGCCAAACAGTTATATTTTTGTTTCATCAGACCAGAGGACATTTCTCCAAAAGGTATGATCTTTGTCCCCATGTCCAGTTGCAAACCGTAGTCTGACTTTTTTATGGCGGTTTTGGAGCAGTGGCTTCTTCCTTGCTGAGCGGCCTTTCAGGTTATGTCGATATAGGACTCGTTTTACTGTGGATATAGATACTCTTGTACCTGTTTCCTCCAGCATCTTCACAAGGTCCTTTGCTGTTGTTCTGGGATTGATTTGCACTTTTCGCACCAAAGTACATTCATCTCTAGGAGACAGAACACGTCTCCTTCCTGAGCGGTATGATGGCTCGTGGTCCCATGGTGTTTATACTTGCGTACTATTATTTGTACAGATGAACGTGGTACCTTCAGGCGTTTGGAAATTGCTCCCAAGGATGAACCAGACTTGTGGAGGTCTACCATTTTTTGTCTGAGGTCTTGGCTGATTTCTTTTGATTTTCCCATGATGTCAAGCAAAGAGGCACTGAGTTTGAAGGTAGGCCTTGAAATACATCCACAGGTACACCTCCAATTGACTCAAATTATGTCAATTAGCCTACCAGAAGCTTCTAAAGCCATGACATCATTTTCAGGAATTTCCCAAGCTGTTTAAAGGCACAGTCAACTTAGTGTATGTAAACTTCTGACCCACTGGAATTGTGATACAGTGAATTATAAGTGACATAATCTGTCTGTAAACAATTGTTGGAAAAATGACTAGTGTCATGCACAAAGTAGATGTCATAAGGCAAAGGGTGGCTATTTGAAGAATCTCAAATATAAAATATATTTTGATTTGTTTAACACTTTTTTGGTTACTACATGATTCCATATGTGTTATTTGTAGAAAATAGTAAAAATAAAGAAAAACCCTTGAATGAGTAGGTGTTCTAAAACTTTTGACCGGTAGTGTATCTTAAAAGATCAGATACAAGTCAGCCTTTTATATAACTCAAAGTAATGTGTCGATGTTACATAGAACACTACGTCCCTTGTCAAATGTGAAGTGTTATTATACGACAATTCCTCATTCCACCCCAGTGACGAATAGAGAGAGGGTCATTACAAGTGTGTGTTTGTGTCTGTGTAACCCTCTCTCTACCCCTTTATGTTGCTATATTTAACCCTTAAAGGTCATACTTGGAGCACTTGGCAAGGCCAGTTAATCTGAGCAGCCCTGATAAAAAGGACTGGTTCCTTTGTGTGTTTGTGTATATACACTATATAGCCAAAAGTATGTGGACTCCTGCTCGTCGAACGTCTCATTCCAAAATCATGAGCATTAATATGGAGTTGGTCCCCCCTTTGCTGCTATAACAGCCTCCACTCTTCTGAGAAGGCTTTCCACTAGATGTTGGAACATTGCTGTGGGGACTTGCTTCCATTCAGCCACAAGAGCATTAGTGACGTTGGGCACTGATGTTGGGTGATTAGGCTTGGCTCACAGTCTGCGTTCTAATTCATCCCAAAGGTGTTTGATGGGGTTGAGGTCAGGGCTCTGTGCAGGCCAGTCAAGTTCTTCCACACTGATCTCGACAAACCATTTCTGTATGGACCTCGCTTTGTGCACGGGGGCATTGTCATGCTGAAACAGTAAAGGTCATTCCCCAAACTGTTGCCAGAAAGTCGGAAGCACAGAATCGTCAAGAATGCCATTGTATGCTGTAGCGTTAAGATTTCCTTTCACTGGAACTAAGGGGCCTAGCCCAAACCATGAAAAACAGCCCCAAACCATTATTCCTCCTCCACCAAACTTTACAGTTGGCACTATGCATTAGGGCAGGTAGCGTTCTCCTGGCATCCGCCAAACCCAGATTAGTCCATCTGACTGCCAGACAATGAAGCGTGATTCATCACTCCAGAGAACGCGTTTCCACTGCTCCAGAGTCCAATGGCGGCAGCTTTACACCACTCCAGCTGACGCTTGGCATTGCGCATGGTAATCTTAGGCTTGTGTGCTGCTGCTCGGCCATGGAAAGCCATTTCATGAAGCTCCCAACGAACAGTTCTTGTGCTGACATTGCTTCCAGAGGCAGTTTGGAACTCGGTAGTGAGTGTTGCTACGCGCTTCAGCACTCAGCGGTCCTGTTCTGTGAACTTGTGTGGCCTACCACTGGGGGCTGAGCCGTTGTTGCTCCTAGATTGTTCCACTTCACAATAACAGCACTCACAGTTGACCGGGGCAGCTCTAGCAGAGCAGAAATTTGACAAACTGACTTGTTGGAAAGGTGGCATCCTATGACAATGCCACGTTGAAAGTCACTGAGCCATTCTACTGCCAGTGTTTGTCTATGGAGATTGCATGGTGGTGTGCTCGATTTTATACACCTGTTAGCAACGTCTGTGGCTGAAATAGCCGAATCCACCAATTTGAAGGAGTGTCCACATCGTTTTGGCCATGTAGTGTATGTATGTGTGTGTGATGTGGCGAGAGCTAAGGAGGGATTTTGTTTTTCATCAAGACAATATGCTACTCTAAGCTCCCTTAATAATACTATTACTACCCCTGTCGCTGTAGCCTGGCCCCAGATCTGTTTGTGCAGTCTTCCTATGATAATTGTTTGTCATGACAATGACCATAGGAGATAGCAAAACAGCACAAACAGGCTACCGTCCCTTACCTTTGGGTTGGTTCCGGGTGACCTGCACGGTGGTCCATGGTGTGGTGGGGGATCCTTCTGAGGGGCTGTCAAAGGTCGGTTGAGGAGTGTCGTAGATGTAGCAGCCTGCCCCTCCGATGTTCACACCTGGAGGAGAGGTTATTAGGCAGCCATAGTATTATGTGATATTATGAGGAGCTAGAGTGGGAACTTAGCCAAAGTACCAGTATCTTACAACTAGTGCCATGGAGTCATTGGTTACCCTTCTGCTGTACCGAAATGTGGTTGTCAGTGTGTTATATTAAAAAAGGAAACGTTTTAAGGCCCAGTAGAGGTCCTACTGCATAACTCCCATCTTGGACGATAGGCAGAATAGCAGAGGAGGAAGAAGCCAAGGGGAAATGCCTGCTGTTTTTCAGTTGGGTTTGAGGTTCCTTTATCCAAACAACCAGAACCAAACCCCGCCCACATCCTACCAAACCACCAGAGACACACACATTCCAGACAAATTCCTTGTTTCTGTATGTATGTACTGGGTCAACTCAACTGTAATGCACATGATTAGAGGGTAATCTCACTCTTTGTAGATAATAATAATTTAGATAATAATTTAGATAATAATAATTTTCAAAGATATGAGCTGAAGTTCGTCAGATGTGTAACCGTCTTTACTTTACATTTAGCTTCCCCAGTCTGATGACCCTCACCTACAGTGGGGAAAAAAAGTATTTAGTCAGCCACCAATTGTGCAAGTTCTCCCACTTAAAAAGATGAGAGAGGCCTGTAATTTTCATCATAGGTACACGTCAACTATGACAGAAAAAAGGAGAAAAAAATATCCTGAAAATCACATTGTAGGATTTTTAATGAATTTATTTGCAAATTATGGTGGAAAATAAGTATTTGGTCAATAACAAAAGTTTCTCAATACTTTGTTATATACCCTTTGTTGGCAATGACACAGGTCAAATGTTTTCTGTAAGACTTCACAAGGTTTTCACACACTGTTGCTGGTATTTTGGCCCATTCCTCCATGCAGATCTCCTCTAGAGCAGTGATGTTTTGGGGCTGTCGCTGGGCAACACGGACTTTCAACTCCCTCCAAAGATTTTCTATGGGGTTGAGATCTGGAGACTGGCTAGGCCACTCCAGGACCTTGAAATGCTTCTTACGAAGCCACTCCTTCGTTGCCCGGGCGGTGTGTTTGGGATCATTGTCATGCTGAAAGACCCAGCCACATTTCATCTTCAATTCCCTTGCTGATGGAAGGAGGTTTTCACTCAAAATCTCACGATACATGGCCCCATTCATTCTTTCCTTTACACGGATCAGTCGTCCTGGTCCCTTTGCAGAAAAACAGCCCCAAAGCATGATGTTTCCACCCCCATGCTTCACAGTAGGTATGGTGTTCTTTCGATGCAACTCAGCATTCTTTGTCCTCCAAACATGACGAGTTGAGTTTTTACCAAAAAGTTCTATTTTGGTTTCATCTGACCATATGACATTCTCCCAATCCTCTTCTGGATCATCCAAATGCACTCTAGCAAACTTCAGACGGGCCTGGACATGTACTGGCTTAAGCAGGGGGACACGTCTGGCACTGCAGGATTTGAGTCCCTGGCGGCGTAGTGTGTTACTGATGGTAGGCTTTGTTACTTTGGTCCCAGCTCTCTGCAGGTCATTCACTAGGTCCCCCCGTGTGGTTCTGGGATTTTTGCTCACCGTTCTTGTGATCATTTTGACCCCACGGGGTGAGATCTTGCGTGGAGCCGCAGATCGAGGGAGATTATCAGTGGTCTTGTATGTCTTCCATTTCCTAATAATTGCTCCCACAGTTGATTTCTTCAAACCAAGCTGCTTACCTATTGCAGATTTAGTCTTCCCAGCCTGGTGCAGGTCTACAATTGTATTTCTGGTGTCCTTTGACAGCTCTTTGGTCTTGGCCGTAGTGGAGTTTGGAGTGTGACTGTTTGAGGTTGTGGACAGGTGTCTTTTATACTGATAACAAGTTCAAACAGGTGCCATTAATACAGGTAACGAGTGGAGGACAGAGGAGCCTCTTAAAGAAGAAGTTACAGGTCTGTGAGAGCCAGAAATCTTGCTTGTTTGTAGGTGACCAAATACTTATTTTCCACTATAATTTACAAATAAATTCATTAAAAATCCTACAATGTGATTTTCTGGATATTTTTTTCTCAATTTGTCTGTCATAGTTGACGTGTACCTGTGATGAAAATTACAGGCCTCTCTCATCTTTTTAAGTGGGAGAACTTGCACAATTGGTGGCTGACTAAATACTTTTTTTCCCCACTGTATGTATTGCCCCCCAAACTGACTGAACCCAGGTCCCATCTAGGAAATTAAATGTTACCGCCTATCTTTCCCATCCATGTTTTGTGGCACCTCCAAAACAATCATGTGATATGCAGGCATAATAATATAAGGTGATAATGCTTGTCAGTTTTTCGAGAGTGACTTAGACCTTTGGTTCGAAAACGTTACACTCAATAAACTGTGGGAGCTTTCAATAGGTTGCAGATACAATGCCTAGTGAGTCTACACACCTTTTGCACAGTCTACACATTTTGCCTACTTAAAATTTAATCTGAAAAGGGATTAAATTTGATATTTTTCCTACTGATTTACACAACCTACTCCCCATTTTTAAAGTAAAAAAAAATTATAGAAACATTTTCCAAATAATACTTTTTAAAAATGAAGATGTCTTGATTGCATAATGTCTTCACACCCCAGAGTTAATACTTGGTGGAAGCACCTTTGGCAGCCATTACAGCTGTGAATCATTTTAAATAACTTTATACCAACTTAGGTTAGGGCATCATACAGTATATCTATTGTTTTTGTCAAAATTGCTCAAGCTCAGTACATTTGGTTGGGAATCATTGATGGACAACAATATCCGAATCTTGTCCCAAGCAAATTTAAGTTCGGACTGAGACTGGACAACTCAGGAACACGCAACACTTCTTGAAAAACCATTCTGGTGTGTCTTTGGCATTAACATTTGTGTGATTGGCCTTCTGGAAAATAAAACTCAATCCCTGGTTAGGTTTTCAGAAGACTGGGACAGGTTTTCCTCTAACTTATTACCTGGGCTTTGCTACTTTCATATTTACTTTGATCTTGACAAATGCTCCAGTCCATACTGGTGACAAGCATACCCATAAAATTATGCTGCCATCACAATACTTGAAAATACAGAGGGTTTCTCCTGTGTTGTGTTGTATTGGATTTAATTTATTTGCTGTGTTGTCTTGCAGTATTATTTAACAGCCTTATCGCAAACAGAATGGATGATTTAGAGTTGATTTTTAACACAGGCTTCCTTCTTGGAATATTGCTGTCAATTAATGATTCCCAACCAAATTGACTGAGCTCAAGCAATTTTGAAAAAACAATGGAAGAAATTTCCCTAAGAGTTGTGCAAAGTTGGTAGAATCTTATAGAAAATTATTCACAGCTGTAATTGTTGTCAAAGGTGCTTCCACCGAGTACTAACTCAGACATGAAAGCATACCTAATCAAGACATGTTCATTTATTTTTATTAGGAAAATGTTCTATAATTTTTCTTTAACTTTGACAATGTGAAGTAGGCTGTGTAGATCGGTAGGAACAAAATTGATTTTTTTTTGTTTTGATAGAATTTTAAGGCAGTAAAATGTGAAGACTGTGCAAAGGGTGTGTAGACTTTCACTAGCGACTATATACAGTGGGGAGAACAAGTATTTGATACACTGCCGATTTTGCAGGTTTTCCTACTTACAAAGCATGTAGAGGTCTGTAATTTGTATCATAGGTACACTTCAACTGTGAGAGACGGAATCTAAAACAAAAATCCAGAAAATCACATTTATGATTTTTAAGTAATTAATTTGCATTCGTAGGATTTTGGTGTGCTCCAAAATGTTGTCACAGATTTAAGCAACTGTGAAACGAGGCCAACTTTTTATGCAACTTTGAAATTGAAGCAATTTTAAGAAATGAGGCCACCCTGGATAGGAGTAGTGATTGAATAGGCTCTGGCCAGGCAGTATAACACCAGGGCAGGGGGTCATTATAGATATAAATCTGGGCCCCACTCAGTACACATAGGACGTCTTGCACTTTGATTCATGGGAAAGGAAATGCCTATGACCGTACAGCATCTGGTATAGTATCCGTGTGATGAAATTGTATAATGTTTTTAACATTGTTTTCTTAATCAATCAAGTAGTTTTATGTCTGTTTGTGTGAGTGAGGAAAGGAGTACATTTGTGCTACTGTATGTATTGTGTGTATGTTTGTGTGCGTACGTGTGTGAGTGCGTGCGTGTGTGTGTGTGGAGTGTGTAAAATACAGATGTAGGATCTTAATTTGAGCCAGTTTGCTACAGCAGGAAAATAATCCTTCAGAAACAGGAAATGTGAATTATATATTATGTGGATTATAATTAATGGACATTTTCATAGGGGTTGATACATTTTTCGTAAGGGAAAATCAAGACTGAAATTTCAAAGTGGAAATTACAAACTTCAGACGCCTTTTTAAACCTTAAATACATTCACTACAAGTTTTACATTTCCTGCATTGCAGGAAAGTTATCCTGCAACAGAGTGATCAAATTAAGATCATACACCTGTATAGTGCTGCTTATTTTTTTTATACAGCAGCACTGTGTATCCAAGACAATTTCAACCTCTGGGACAATAAAGTGTATCCTATCCTATCATTGAATGAATGTCTTACTGAATTCAAGCTATAGCCATTCTTCCTCATATCTGTGATGATGCTTTTTTAACAGTAACCTCTTACCTTTGGGTCCGAAGAGAGTTCCATAGCATGGTTTGTGACAGTAGGGCAGCCCATCATGCTGAAAGACAGACAATGTCTAATTTTAACAAATAGTCTTATCATAATAAATAGCTGAATATTGTTAATTAAGAAAAACTAAAACCACAGGAAGTCCGCTCACAACAATGTGCAGGTTTAGTGCAACTTTCAACTGTAACTATTTACTGAAACAGTTCTACTTATTACTGAAATAAACTGTTTACTGAAACTGAAACATTTCACAATTCACTGAAATTGAACTTTACAGTCAGTCAGTGTCAGTATAAAGCATT